TGAAGCAATGAGCATGAAACTGAGCAAACTCAGGGAGGCAGTGAAGGACAGGAAGGCCTGGCACAATATGGTTCATGGGGTCACGAAGAGATGGACACGCCTTAACGACTGAACAACAACAACAACAACAAAAATTGATTTTGCTCAAACTTTGCTTAATCTATTTCATGCCAAATTGCAGGAGATTCTAAGTCACATTCTGGGTATAAAACATGATGCATAAAAGAAGTTTTTAAGTCATGTGTACTATGAAACAAGTTTCAAGTTCTTTTCCAAATATTTTATTGTTTTTGTTTAATAAGGTAAAGTTAAATTAAATTTCTACATGGGAAAAGAATCTTTTTTTCTATCTTAACTGATTGAAGTCATTGAGATGTTCAGAAAATTATCCTATCCTATCCTATCCTATCCTATCCTATCCTATCCTATCCTATCCTATCCTATCCATTTGTATGCTGTTCAGTCCCAGAAGGCTCTAGACGGCTAACAATCTCCTTGTAATCCCATTGTCAATTAAAGCATCCTCTTCTCCTACGCTAGATGGAACAAGCGGGTCAAAAGCTTTCCTAAAGCCCAGGAGGGACACAGTCAACTGAATCTCTGGGGAAAGAAAGTTTCAAAGTGAGGGGGCAGCTACTGAAAAAGCCCATTTCCAAGGCCCTGTCAGATGGCAGACATGAAGGGATGGGAAGACATGAAGGGATGGGAATAGGGAGTCAACCCTATTCAATCTGGTCTGATGTGCAGATGAATATGTAAGAAGGCAGTCCCACATATAATCAGAACTGAGCTATGTAGGGCTTTGAAGGTGACAACCAGCACCTTGAATTGCACCTGGAAGCTGACTGGTAATCAATGCACTTCTCTAAGCAGTGAGGTCACCTGGATTTACCAGAATATCCCCATCACTGCCCAGGCAGCTGCATTCTGTACCAGCCGATCACTAGAAATTTGAATTGAGACTATGATAATGTGAATATTATATTTTACATATGTATATTTTAGAAATATAAAACTAATATAATCTGATTTCATCTGGTTTCCATAGGATTTCTTTTTAACCAGTTTTATTTATTCTAACAGATTAAAAAAAAGGTAAGTTTCTAGCTGGTTTTTAATCTTATGTATTGTAAGATTATATATTTGGTTATGAATACAGTATGTTGTAGGATAGCTTTTGTTGCAGTTGGACTCCCAGGAAATGAAGTAAAATGCTTTAAAATTATTCAGAAAGAGTGTTTCAAAATGTGCAGGAGCTGGCTCTTTACTAAGCCTTCCATTTTTATTTTTTTTTTATCCGCACTCAATTGTGACCGATTCGGCAGCGACTACCTGGATGAGTCCCTGCAGTTTTCAAGGCAAGGTCTTTCGGAGCAGTCAAATCTTTCTCCAAAGATGCCTGAAAGTCTGGAAAAAGACATGGTGCTTTAAAGTGGGATTGTGCTTCTATTCCTATGTGTTCCAAGATACCTCTTCTGAAGCATATTTGAAGTATACACAGCTGTACATATCACCTGTCCTGAGTGCTATTTCATATAAAAGCTGGGATCAAAATATAAGAAATTAATTAATCAACATTTCCCTAGTTTCTGATTGAAGATGAAGTTCCTTTTAGTGGGTATTATGGTAGTTTAATCAATGTATGCACAATCTAAACAAGAAAATGGGCTTTTAAATATTTTGTTAGACACAAAAATAAATGTCAAGGGTTCCATCAAAGATTATGCAAGAGAACTCCTGCTGACATAATGGGAGTTTTTCATACTATACTTTCCCTCTGCTTCTCCTGCATGTTCACCCCCATCTAGGCCTGAGTACAGGAACAAAGAGAATCTAATCCACCAGCAGTGTCCATTCTGCTGGCTGATGGACACATTGTGATACAGCCCAAAGTATGTGTCCATAGATAATAGAAGCTGCAGTGATGTCTATTGTTTATCTGTCCATATTTATGTCCCAAAATTTCAATATAGCTAGTTTGGTGTAGTGGTGAAGGCATCAGGCTAGAAGCCAAGAGACCATGAGTTCTAGTCCTGCCTTAGGCACAAAGCCAGCTGGGTGACCTTGGGCCAGTCATTCTCTCTCGGCCCTAGGAAGAAGGAAACAGCAAACCACTTCTGAAACTTTGCCAAGAAAGCTACAGGGACTTGTCCAGGCAGTCGCCAGAAGTCAGCACTGACTCAAAGGCACCAAAAAAAAAAAAAGAAACAAAGAAACAAAGAAACAAATTCAGGATTGCAACTCCAACCATTAGTAACATTACAGAGGATGTACTTCCTACATCATGGATAATGACCTAGTTTCTTCTCTCTCTTTCTCTTCTATCAGTTAGTATACCTTTCTCCAACTTAATTTCATCCAGATGTTATTAGGTATTCTTTGTATCTTCATTCATCATTAGACATGTTCAAAAATGTCTTGAAGGTCCCAAGTTGGGGAAGGCTACTCTAAATGCATAGCTTGACATATTTACACACTTATGTTTCCCATTTTAAGAAGCAAAGGAACTCAGAATAGGATTTGGTTGCATCAGAAGTTTTGTATTATTAGTTATTAGTTCTTAACTGGGGAGGCAGCAGGTAATACAAAGCTGTTTTTTGGGATGGCACCCATGTATTCTTGGTAAGGTCTAATAAAGTGTAAAATCAATGGCATGCAAAATGTTTTTCCATATTACATTCTGATAAGAATTTCATTATCTGAACTCCGCTTTCTGGGAAAAAAGCACCATGAACAGGTAGGTTGTGGCAGATGTGCTAATACTAAGAAACTACACCAGTATTAGGCCGCCATCTGGCTCCCAGCATAAGCTCAGAAACTGAACAGATTGATTCTTATTTTTTTTTTATCAAAGAGCCCCCAGAACATTAGCAATTTAATAAAATGCATATGATCTTCAGATAGCCTTTTCAAAAAGTGTGTTTTTAAACCAGACATTTCACAAGAGTATAAATATTATAGCATAGCTGTACTTATCACAAAACATTTAAGAACTACAGCTCTATCAAAATTTATTTATCTGTGTATCATATTTATATAGCTGCCCATCTCACACAAGGTGACTGGGCAGCATACAAAATATAATCACAGTTGCTCAGGGGACCGGAATATATTTATGTCTTCTATTACCCATTAATTTGTTACTGGCCTACACAGTGCCCTGTGAGAAGTGCTTATCATACCTTGTGAATACTGCAATCAGCATGGTTTTGGTACTGAAGAACAGGTATGGATATCTGGCAGGTTCAGGTTAGTGACGACACAATAACTGCTTGCCACAATTAGTTATCTTATGGAACTTTGTTTTGTCTGCTGTACTGTCTTATTGGCAAATTGTACCAAAATGAAAGAATAATGAGATATGAGACTTCTAAGGCAGTTATTGCTTCTGAATAAAAGGAATCCACTTTATTAGAAAACAATCTGATTATACCCATGTAGTCTTTTTCTGAGTTACATTATTATATATATGAAAAAGTGCAAAATAACATTGGTTTTTAGTCAGCCCAAGGTACCATTAAATCAGACAGCAGATGAAGAGTAAATAGGCATAATTTACTATCTTAGGAAGCTTCACCTGTTGCAACCCCATCTGGAGAAAGGAGACCTGACTCTTGCTATATACAGCCTGGATACTTTCAGACTAGAATATTGTAATGCTGTCTGCTTGGGTGTGGATTGCCAGTTTTCTGCTGCCACAAGAAAACTAGCAATCTGGTTTTCAGCTGTGCAAAAATAGCAATCTGCACCGGGTTGCTAAGAGGAGGGAGCAAAACTTGTTGCTTTCACCTTCCTCTGAATAACTCTGCTCAATTGAGCTCACATAGCCATTAGCAGCAGGAAACTAAAAATGTTGAGCAGGATTCCTCCTCTCTCCCAGGGACCCAGTTTGGGATGGCTGAAAGCAGGACTAATTTTTTCATCCCTCTCAGTGATCTTGTTTAAATAATTAGCTTCTCACAATATCCTGATCCACCACTTTTCCTGATCCACCACTTGAGAAGGCTGTCTCCCTTCTGCCTAAAGAAGGATGGCTCTTGTCTCTGCCATAAGAGTGGAGAATGGTGTAATTCCTGATCAGTCAGTCTTTATTGTGGTCTCAGATCAGTACAAGAAATGCCTGGTCAATATCTTGTCAAGTTGTGTCTTGTCAAGTTATATGCTCTTCTGTGTGCAGTGCATTAATGGCAGGGGGCTTGGATCCCTCTCTAACACAAAAGGAGTCAATTACCATGTGGTTAATGCTCAGCTTAGACTGGAGATCTAGGTTTGATCTATGTTTTGGTGATGAAATTTATTGGATTTGGGCTGATCACTTTCACAGAATCGTTATGAGAATAAAATAGGGTATGTTCTAATGTGTGTAACAGAATGGCAGAATATAAATATAATAAATTTGCTATGGTGGGTTAAGCAAGCAATAGGTGAAACACTAATATGTATATCCCACTCTTCCATTCTGTTTTGTATATTGGACCAGAGACGTTACATAGAGAAGTGCAAGGTCACAACACATCCTGCATGGTCATTTTGTTGTGGCACGTAATTACTGCATATAATATTTCTTGATGTTTCTTCAGATTTTCAGAGTGTGGGATATCCAAACACTTTCACTGATGCAAGTCTTTCATGACTCTCAAGGGACACCCAGAGAGTCACAAATCTTTTCCATGGTATTTGACAGTAACCACGGGACACTTATTACAGGTAGGTATGAGAAAAATATATCCCTGTTGATTATAAATAGGCATGCTGATATGCTAGATCAGAACCAACAATGTCTTTCTGACAATGGAAGGCATATATTTTAACCCAAAGATCAAATTCACCTTCTTTCCTGCACTCCCTGTATCTTCTTAAAGATATGGCATCTTCATGCTATCCCAGTAGGTTTAGCTGTCAGATGACTCTATCTCTCCATATGTTAGAGAATTCTTCCACATAGTGCCTTGGTTACAGGATATATTACCAGGGTATTGCTTTCATGCATCCCTCCCAGATGTAGGTGCTTATTACTAATGCATCCATGGCAGGGTAGGGAATACATCGGAGGTATTTGGTCTATCCCCAAAATATTGAAGTAGATCAACAAACTGGAATGGTTAACAATTTGAAAGATGTACATTTTCAGGGGCTTCTCCCAAAGTCAAACTGTCCAAATTGCTGTAGACATTCCTATGGACATCTGGTATATACACAAGCAAGGTGCTATGAAGTCCATTCTGTTTTTACTCTGCAGATGTGGTACTGGTACATCCTACATTCTCTCTTTATCTGGCAGTCCACATACCAAAAAAAAAACATTTCCTGGATGACCAGCTCAGCTATGTTTGGTCAACAATTCATAAATGCAGTCACATAGTGTGTATCCCAAGCTACGATCCTATGATCCTCTATGCCTAAACATGTGTAGCAGAGATAGAATAGATGTCCTGAAATAACTGCAGTTAGGTACTGAGTGCAGGGCTGAGCTATGCAGAGATTTATTGCCAGATCTGGTGTGAAATCTGACCATGTAATCCTATTTTTCCTAAAAAGATTTCTCCTACACTGTTTTCCTTCCTGCTGATCTGAGGCTTTTCAGAAATCCACAGGGATTCAACTACTGTATCGTCATATTCTACCGCATTAGCTGAACATGAGATATTTTCTCCGCAGTTTGCATGCCACAATATTTTTCTTTTTAGTACTAAGACCTTTGCATTATGATTTGTCCAAATTGCTGTAGACATTCCTAGATAATAGAAAAGAGATACTTAATTTGGCTCCTACAGAATATAAGCAGTTCAGGTTTGCTGATGACTTAATAACTGCAATTTGTCTGCTGTTTATTTCAACCACCAGCCATCTGAGATCACATTGTATCAAATTCCAGTGGTCAAATTTCAGCCCATTTTTTGCAATGTGTGCCGTTTGGGTCCACTAGGAGTCTTCCCACTCCTCTCCTCACCCCGAGAAGGCCTGAAATGTCAACATACTTACAGTGACATCATTGTATTACCAAATGCCATCTTACAGATTTCCAGAAGTTTGGGAAGCAGAACTACAGCCCCCGGCCAGTCAAATATTGCCAGTCCTTGCTATAGACAGATATAAAAACATCTCTATTTTTCTCTTGTATAAATTTTAAGGGTTTGGTTTTTGAATGTGTGTATGTAACAAGTTTTTGGAAGAGTAAATGCAATGCCATAGTGCATAAAAACTGAACCAGTAATTTAATTTGATCAGACATATAATACCTTCAAGCTACATACAGTAATAAGGACATACAATGTGTTTCCTTGAGGTCAGTCTGCCAATCAAAATTATAATTTATTTGAAATGAAAACTTGAATCTTTTCTAGAATAACTGATGATATTCATATTCATAAGCCATATTATGCAATTCTGTAATACCCAGGATCATCAGTCATCGATATTTATCCTCTCACTCGGATGATACAAGACACTAAACAAGTTCCCCAGACTCATGAAAGGGGCATCAATGTGCTGGTTTACAATAAAGCTTTTCACCAAGTTCTTACTATCTGTTCTGAGTCTATTGCAAAGGTGAGTATAAATCTTATGAGCCTTTCAGTTGCAAAGCGAAAGAGAAATTTTCCTATTTGGGCAAGTACATTAATTAGGATATTCTTATCACACTCACACTGCAATCTTAAAAGCTATTTTGGAGCTTGTCTTTCCCAGAGATGGGTGAGCCAGGATGAATAAGGCCCCCACTCTCCTGGCCTTCCAAAAAGGGCTGAAGACCTAGCTCTGCCAACTCGCGTGGGGCAAGAGGGGATATAACCAACCCTGGGGGGTTGAAGACACTCCCCGAATCTAAGATATTTTTTATTTATATAGGAAGTCTTCTTGTAATGTATTTTAATTCATATTTATTCTGTTTTAACTAATATTTATTCTTTTTACTGTAAACTGCCCAAAGTCACTCAGCAGTGAGATGGGCGGTGACAAATTTGAAAAATAAATAAATAAATAACTTCATTTCTTTCATATGGGGAGGCAGTTGAACTGCAAGCTCAAAGGAATTACTGGACTTTTCTGTTAAATCAAGGAGAAACTGGAACACTTATTTCCAGTGTTCCTTTCCCAAGTTCAGTCAATCCCTCTTATTCTTCTATCTTAAGATTTAGTTCATACATTTAAAAAAATAATAGTACCTGTTGTGGTTATTTTTGAAATCCCCAGTAGTTATTAGACTGAATTGCAAATAATCTGATTTATTTTTAGGTCTGGGAATTGGAAACAGGACAGTTAATATACCAGATTGAAGATGCCCATGGGCCCGGTGTTGAGCTGACATGCGCAGCAGTTGATAAAAATGGATTTCATCTTGCTACTGGAGCATGTGATGGTAAAATAATGAAAAAATTACTCCCTGAAATATCCTTTTAAGATTATTCCCTGTATTTTTCAAAGAGCTATAAAGCTAGTTAAGTAAGTCTAGCCTTCTGCATTCCATGGTTTCATAATAAAGATCAGTTCAGAATTCTTCTGGTCTTATAACATTGTCTGTGCACCATGCATAGTAGTTGCAAATAGCCCTTAGTAAAGCACTGGAGAAAAGACTTTTAACACAATCAATGTTGGTCCTACATGCATTTCATATAGGAAAGAGCAAACTTTGTTGTCAGGGAACAGAATTTTCTGGAGAATTCCAGAACGTTCTATTTGTCTTTAGATAGGCCAGGCCTCCTCCTCAACCATTCCGTTCTGCTGGTGATTTGGCAGTTCCCAGAAGTAAATCCTCTGAACTGCAAGTGATTCAAGTGTTTCAGCCATGGTATTGTGGTTGGATTAAACAAATTTTGCTTATTTCTAATTTCACATTTTGTAGAGGTTTTGCAGAGATGGCGCATTAGCCATGGAGCCCTAAGTATGTTTTATGAGGTCTAATATTTATGAGATTATTGGGATTTTCCATATCATTCATATATAAGGGAAGCATTTATTTGAAGTCACCCTCACAGGATAATATAGAGCATAGCAGATGAAATGCAACACTCCTCCTGAAGTGGTAAATTCCACAAAATTCACCTAAGAGTTGATTTGAAACAAATATATTTCCATGTAAAACTTAGGCCTGATCTAGATAAACAGCAGATAAAGTGGTAAAACTGTTCCTTGTTTGTGTAGCTTCACATCATATGACTTAATGTTTCCCATTAAATATTTCTTACAGAAATGCTGATGCTGGGAGGAAGCATTCTATTGTCCATCAGAGGTCCTATTAAATGTTCCATTGATTAGGGCTAAATTACATAATGTGCCACATATTTATACCACAGTTTTTCTGGAGTTATTTTATACTTAAATAAGTGCATCATGGCCTAATACAATTGGAACACTACACTTACTTCCTCCGTGGACCTTGTTTAGAAAAATTAATTAATCTCTACCATATAAGCATCCAGAATGATGCAGAATGCAGCTGCATGGATAGTTATGTGTGCCTCTAGGATGGCACATGTTACACTTCTGCTCCACGAGCTGCATTGGTTATCAGTTTGCTTCCAGGTATAATTCAAGGTGCTGGTTTTGACCTTTAAAGCCCTACATGGGTCCAGGTTATTTGAGGGACTGTCTCTTCCCAGTTACACCTACTCATCCCATCAGATCCTGCAAAAGAGGTATACTCCAGGTCACACCTGATAAGGAGCTCCAACTGGCAGGACTGAGGAGGCACACCTTTTCTGCTGTAGCCCCTGCCCTCTGGGACATCATTCCCCCTGAGATGAAGATAGCCCCATCTCTGTTAGCCTTCCAGAAAGCCTTGAAAGCATGGTTCTTCCATCAACCCTGGGGATCCCATGGCAAGTCTCCAAAGTGGTTGTATGAGGCTAAATGATGGTTGTTCTCCCACTATCTTGGAGTTTTTTTATGTTTATATTCTTTTATGTTTTTATGTTTTATTTTTGTTGTTATTTGTTTGATGTTTTTTATATTGTGATATGATTTTAATTGTTATTCTTGTAAGCCACCCAGAGTCACTTTTTGTGAGATGGGCAGCTATATGAATTTCCTAAATAAATAAATAAATGGAATTAAAAAGCAAAACACAGTTGTGTCAGCAGGCCTGGGGGTCACAAGAAAACGGCAATCTGATGAGGTAGCTCCGTTGTTCATCTGATGCTCTCTCTTAGCCTTTTCATAATAATATAATTTTTGTACTTTTTGAATGTTTTTTTAAAAAAATTTATAGCTGTTTCTACACCTCCCAGAGTCATGTCACGTGAGATGGGCAGGCATATAAATATGCTAAATAAGTAAATAAATAAATAAATAAACAAACAAACAAACAAACAAACAAACAAGAACCATTGGTAATTATAGTATGAATTTATTGTTCATTTTTCCTTATA